TAATATATATAGTATACTTTAATATGCACATTCGTACTGTATAACATTTATACATCTTAAATAGTCGCCTAAAAAGTCTACAAAAACAACAAAAATACGTTGATTGACTGCTACGTATACGCATAACTTATATACTTTATGTATTTAAAAGAACATCTAATAAACGTAATGATTTTTCTGAACTTTTTTTTAACGATTTAAAAAGTTGAGGTGGTGCATGCGTATGAAATTAATACGCATTGAAAATAACTGGAATGCTCTAATTGAGAAGAACACGATAAATAAATATGTATTTGTTAATATAATAATTAAAGTTGCTTCACGCTGTTACGTCATTCGTAAAATACTATCACTTTATATTATACCTACGATAAATATGCGCATTTAAATCAATACCCAATTTTAACAATAGTAGCATCTGGAACTTGACTGTAATAGCCGTAAAAAAACAATAACTGCAGTACACACGTATATTGCGACCGCAGGAAGTGATAGTTATGAATATTAGTTTTCACATTTTTTCTGTTGTCGAGCAATTGCTTAATTTAAATCAAAAATTTAAATTTAATTTAAATAAAACTGTAATTTGCGTTATCAAATTTCGCAAAAAATTTTAATAAGGTCGATTGGCATCAGAAAATTGTTCTCGAATTGTTTAATAAAGCTCAATAAAGTAATTAATGATTTATAATAAAAAGCAAAGGTATAGTGCTTAGGCAACCCAACGAGCGTTACTGAATATACCTGAGTCTCACTCATAATAATACAAGTGACTTTAAAATGAAAAATGGTTGGAAAAATTTGTAAACTTCAAACCAAGGCAACTTAACTTAAAGTTCAACATATGCGTAATATTGAGAAGAAGAAATGAGTAAAAACTAATATTTATCACCTTTTAATTATTGATTCTAAATGAGCACATAATAAGCAATCGTTTGGCAAAAGAAAATTCGCAAAAACTAATATTCGTAACTCGTAATTTTTCTTTAATTGTAAGAAAATGAACTGTTTTTTTTTACCTGTCAATACTTTCGTTTTTCTTCACTTAATAATGTTTCCTAAGCTTGCACATAAAATCTCCGACAAACATTTTCTGCCCTTTTTTTAACATGTATTAAGACGTCCGAAGCCAGTTCTTCTTCTGTTGTGAATTTACACTTTTGAAAATTGAAAATATCCGACAGAAAGCCTAAAACTTGTTCCTTGAAGTACATACAGATGTCTTTCAGGTTTTCGTCTGGACCTAGGAAACCCCATGCGAACAAGGGCGACAATTGTTCCGACAATGTATAAAAATGAGCCATGAAACCATTAGGGAATTTTAACATTCGCCGTTTGGCTTTCAGAACGGACCATACGGCGGTAGTGAGAGCGGTCTCTTTGAAACCGTTCGATAGCCATCGGTTTTGTACTACCGCCGTGACGGACGACGGAGGCGCCTCCAGGTCCTCGAAGGCGTCCATGAGGATGTAATCCAAAACGACGTCGTAAAACGTTAAAGCTTTTACGCCCTTGGCGCTAAGTTCCTCTTCTAGGATCCTCCAATTTCCATGTTCGCTGAGGAATATCAACATTTTTTCGTAACCTATGATAAATTCTTTTGGATCTTTATCTGCAAACATAAGAAGCTCGGCTAATATTTGACGACCGGTATCGGCAAACCACAAATAGGTGGACGGATTCTTAAACATGAGTTGAAACGCCAATCGAAGGCAGTGCAATTTTGCCAGGTACTCGCCATCAGAACCGCAGCGTACCAGCTCGGTTCTAAGTGTTCTGCATGGAATACCACCTTCCTCCAACTGACGAAGGGCTGATTGGTAAAGGGGCAATTGCTCCAAATCGGCGAAAAAGTCCGAAAACTCTTCAAACTCTCGTAAATCAGCCACCTTCAATTGACAAAAATTAAAAATATTGACCTTAAGTGCTTATTAAACGCATCTAAATCGAACCTGGTCTTGTGCTGAAGCAAAGCTCTCCCCTCCAGAAGCTTCGGTTTCGACTCCGGGATCCGATGGATGCGTACCGCTTCCGGCTTTGAACAAAACGGACCTTTCGTCTAAAAACAGCAATTCCGATTTCTCTTGCAGTTCGAGAGCGCTCTCTAAAAGTTGTTGGAGATCTTTACAAAAAGCAGTCTCTTCAGGGCCTAGAACGGCCAAAGCACCATCACCACTCGTTTCTTGAGAACGATACGCGGCCAAAGCATCTTCCCAATAATTGATCGATGTCTCTAGCGCTTCCATACCTGTAATAAACAAAAATAGTGTAAACAGTTTTATTTAGACTTTTAGATTTTGTTATTTATTTTCTATTTAAAATGCTGTTGGAACGATATTAAAAGTATTATTTTAAGGGCATGCGCGTAATTTATTTACAAAAAATACTAATCATTTCAATACACGTCCTCAATTGAATTTGATTCGATAATAAGGTACGAGAATAGTTTTTAAACATTTCCTTTGCACCATTTCGTCATCATCAAAAGTGATATTAGGTCATTATAAATTATCCACATAATTTGTCCTATTTTGCTGCTCATTTTTCGCAAATTATTTTTCTTGTAAACAATAAAATGTAGTTTGTCCAAGTGTTAGTGTAAAATTTTCTGCATTCGAACCCGCTTGGAAAAAACAGAGGTAAAGAAGTTTAGTTTTTCTTACAAACAGCACAATTAGTAATAAAGTTATTTGAAGTCAAAACACGAAATCATTAAAATTCATAATGGGTACAAAACGTTCGTATGTAAACGTACAAGATTGTTAAATAAATATTAGCCCTTTTCTTAAAAAACTTTCTCCCCTGCGTGGGTCATGATGTCAAGGATTCAATCTTCTCTCTAGTTTGTTGAGCCTTGTGCCCGACGAAGCTGTGATCGTGTCTGCAAGTGCTGATGATAAATTCGTCCGCTCTCAAGATGAGTCATCGTCATCATCCTTTAAACGATCAAACTTTTTTTCAGAATAAAACGCAAGCGAGGGATTTCGTTTTCATACATGACGTCAGCGGAATGACAAATTCATTGTTTTTGATTGTTCTCAACGATTAGTCAGCGTAGGTGCAAAAATTTATCGCACAACTTCCTCTGATTTTGATTCTTTAATGTCTAGAGAACAATCAACAAATTCCTCCCTACATAGCTGTGTAAATAGATAGAGGGGTATTACATAACATCCTGCTGTCACTAATCCATTGCCATAGCGAATGTGTTATCTAAACCATATTCGTAAATGAATCGCTCTGTATTTATAAGTTTAAAAATTGTGGTACTAGGTACATTAAATTGTTAGTTACATTTCTTTTATTTATATTTATAAACCAGTCTTACGTACTGTACGTATTCGTAGCCAGACAAAAAAGTTTATCTGTTAAAGAATTTCTTATGTAACNAAAATACTATCACTTTATATTATACCTACGATAAATATGCGCATTTAAATCAATACCCAATTTTAACAATAGTAGCATCTGGAACTTGACTGTAATAGCCGTAAAAAAACAATAACTGCAGTACACACGTATATTGCGACCGCAGGAAGTGATAGTTATGAATATTAGTTTTCACATTTTTTCTGTTGTCGAGCAATTGCTTAATTTAAATCAAAAATTTAAATTTAATTAGTAATTGATTAACTCAAATGAAGAGATATCGAAACAAATTCACAATTATCTAGAAATAAACAAAATATTTCCATCAAATCCTTAAATTACTACTGGCTCTTCTTATTGTTGTTGTTGCTTTCAGTATTGTCCCAAACAAAAATGAATTTGGATTGTGATTATTATTACATTTAATATTTCGTTCTCATATATGTATGTAGGTATCTAAGTAAGTGTGTGATGGTGCTGCGGAGAATAGAAATGGATTTGGGAAAGTAGGGGCCATTTTTGGTCCCCGATTGGATAAGGCCACTATTATGAGCATTTTACTGAAGGAAATCAAACTAATTAACAAGAAAAATGTTAAACGACTATGTTTCCAGGTAAAAACTAATCAAAGAAATAGTCAAGCCAAAACATAATTATTGTTGGTCCTGGTGGGGCCAAAGATGCGCCTTCTGTAAACCACCCCTTTAGGTAGATAGGAAAGAGTATTTGTGTCATCACGTAAATTAGTACACAATGATGAAGACCGAGCGATATCAAGTTGCGTGTTGATCGTTATCTGCTCTTTTGTTTTTATTATTGCGTCGGGGACAATCCGCGTTCCTGTGGTATGGACGGTAGTAGTTGTTCTAGTTGAATTGTATAATAATGGTAACTTCCGATAGGTTCCGGAGTCCGGATTGATGTTTTAGTGGCCGGGTGCCCAGCAACGGCCGCACGGACTCCCATTCCGTTGTTTTATCATTCTCTTGGCGGTTCATACAAAATCGACCGGAATCGTTAGAGCGGTGACGTAGTCCGCAGGTTCCAATGGAAAACCTCCGTTTCTCCCTTCTCTGTCTTCACGTAAAACCGGCAAAAGACCAAGAGCGGCGTCATAGCTGCTGGTTTCTTGCTTACCGAGACTGTTCGAGACCGATGCTTTCTTACATTTTACGCACTAGGTATAGGTAGATTGTTCTTGATCTGTTACGCAAATTCGCAGTGTAGAATCACAGAGTGAATTGTTGAATTACGAAAGCGCGAAATATTGTTTTTCTTTCCCGATTTTGTGCCACTTACTAAAAGGATAGTTATCATTACCGGATAGGATCAAAAAGGATATTTTCTACCGCAGCGCAGTTAAAAGGAGTGGGTAAGGAGAAAAGTAAAGCATTTCAATAAAAAAAAACCTTTTCCTCGAATTCAATTAAAAATTTTATAACTACATGTGTTTCCTGGGCGTTTCTTATCTACCTAGGTAACTGAAAATTTATAAATTATACCTATATATTTTGAGAAAAGCGCAATTTTCACATTTTAACTCCGACTCACTTAAGAAATTCGACCCACTTTGTGTCGTAAAACTATTGCAGATAAATAATTTTCCCCTTGACCTTTTCATATCTTGCTCTCTCTTTATTATTATTATTATTGTTGCGAATATTATTTTCTGCAGTATTACATTTTTTTACAAAAATTTTGAAATACACCAGAATCAAAGGTGGTTTTTCAAACGAAATCAATAACGCCCCTCGTTTTCCTTCATGTTCTGGGGACACCTTTCAATCTGAGTCCTGCTATAGATACGTCTACATACATACTGCATTCACAAAAAAAAGGAATAAATTTAATTTATATGTACCTACACCGGTTTACATACTATATGTATAATAAACTGTATTATTTTGGAAAATATCAACCAATTTAAATGGTTCCATATAGGTAAAATAGAGTAAAGTATTACCTACTATTCAGAAATCACGTACATACCTATATGCAGGTATGCAGATTTATGGTAACCTGCATATTATTTTTTAAATTACATACTTATTACTTATATAAATTTTTATGTTTTGCTGTCAGGTTTGAATTGAAGCAATTACTGCTTACGGACCGATTTTATAGACCTTTACACTTGACGCAATATTCAATAAAATTTTGCATTAATTGTTATGGTTTACTGAAAAAAAAAAAAACTAGTTAACAACAGTTTAGGCAATTAATAAGGTACAACTGTTGGGGTTACAAGTTTACATCAATATATTTATGTAATGCTACATTAATGTTATCTAAACATGAAAAAGTTACTGTTCTGTATATAGGTACCTAATAATAATAATTGATCCATTTTGCTTAAAACGTGTGATTCTAATTGTACTTTTTAATGATGCGCGTGATTATTTATTTTTATCATTTTTAAGTGGACGCTTTTTTAATTGCGGCAGGACGAATACTAATACATACTTAATTGTAATGTAAGTTTGAGTAAATGAATAATTGACGTTATATAGAGGAATCACATATTTATTGCCAAGTATTAACTACTTGCAAACTGTATAACACACAATGCGCCATTAAAATTTCGACAAACAATTTTACAATCATTAATTATTTGCCTGGCCGTGAGATTTACTACTTGTCCTAGATTTTTTCTTACATTAATATTCGATCACTATTAAAATTTGACGGTGAAAGTAACATTGGTAATGTGTAGTAACGCAAAAAATAACGTCAAGTATGATTATGATAATAAATAAATTTTGTGTCTACAAAGGATCCATTAAACTGAAGATTATGTGTACCTATTTTAAGTATTTAGCTGATAATTCGACTGTGGCGTGTTTGAAACCGTTGACATGGTATTTATTGGTACTTGGTAATATGGAAAATTAATTAAAATGTCCATACGTATCTAGTTTAAAAATAAAAATTGTTGCAAGGCAGAAGTTATTTTCCTGGAGTTAAACGTTAGTTGAATTGTACATTATTAGTACAGTATCTACAGTTTGAAAATTGGTCCTTGTTGTGTGGCATTAACGTATGTAAAAGAGAAAGGTCTAGTAATAAACATTGCGCTATGTATTCCTAATTGTAACTTTTACACATTCAATGGTCACTTAAGTCAGATATTACCAGTGTATTTTTAACAACAAGGGGACTTAATAGAACCAAATGATTGGCAAGTTTTAACGATTGGATTGGAACTAGAGCGCGATGTTTTTTCTCATCATCATCATCATAATCGCCATCAGTCATCTACTTTCAGTCAGTCGTAAGCGGATGGAAAAGTCGAAAACGCTTTCATGTTTCATGTAATAGTCATTATTATGTATAAGTAATACTTAGTTGGTGTTGACAATGAGTTCACATTTAACGACTTAATAACGGTAAAGAATAAAACTTGAGGTTTGAAACACTTCTGAACGCCATCCACTGCCTTAGCATCTTTTCTTCTTTCTTCGCATGTTATAGCGATGAATGAATAAGAAATAACCGTTATGTTTGACGCCAAATTACCTACCTAGATCCGACCGGGTGTTTCCGGTTTAATAATAATATAATGGCAAAAAAAATTACCTTTACTACCTACAACTAGCGTGTAAAAGAACTCTTTAAATTCTCCGCGTCATTCAGAAAAAACGAATCAACCAGCAGCATTTTAATTACGAATCCACTGCCATATACATTATGAATAACGTGTTTAAAGTCAAGGTCGCCAATTGTATAAAACAATAGTAAAATTAAACGTATGACTGTTTAAATGATCGCAAATGATGTTTGGCATTATACAGGGTGCTTCGTAAACAGTGGATAACTTTTCAACTGTGTAAAAGAGCCTAAGACCATCCGGAAAATTAAAGCTTACTTTGTCAGCTTAAGACTGATTGGACTCGAGCCCCTACTCCTTCCTTATTCCGAGCCAATCTTCCCGAAAACTACAACATCAGTAAACTTCTTCTTCTAATATACATATCTGCAACTAACATTTGATGTCGCAAAAGATTCCCTATCATTCTACCTCTTCTTTTTTATATTAATTCAGTTTCTATTACTTCCCCTTGTAGTGAGAATCAAAGCCAGGATAGGGTCAACAAAAAGAGGCAGAAATAGGGATTACTTCTGTACTACAATGCCATTCAGAAGGTTTTAAAGTCACTCAGTTTCTGCAGAAACTTGAACCCTAGTGGAAAGCGTTGTAGTACAAAAGTAGTCAATATTTCTAATAACTTCCTTTGCACCAAAAGGTAAAACATGGACGTCGTTGGTTTAATAAATACCTAAATCCCTTTTTCCTCCTGTCCTGACTCTGATTTTTCACTAATCTTATAACTACCAATTGAATTTTTGGATGGCGTAGAGATTCTCCATATGCAATTGAAAGGTAATCCACTACTTACAGGACAATATATGCAGGCGCTTAGGATATTGTCCTTTATTAGTAATTGTTATTGTAACTGTGCTTTTGTTTAACGCAATCCGTTCTATATTTTAATAAAAGAAGGCAAGTTAAATTTTGCCTTGGTAAATTACTTTTCTTTTAATTTCCGTGATGACTTAGACTGTCGTACGTTTTAAAAACAATGAAGCTTTTGCAACTGCATAGAAAACAAATAATAGTTCCGTTGAAATGCAATTTACGTGTAAACTTATGGTGCATTAACCGTTACCTGAATAGTGCTTGAAATAACAATGAGGAAAATGTTTATTATTTTGTGGAAAACTGCAAAGTTTGTGCCCGAACAAAACCAAATATGCATTACGTATTGCAATGTGTTTATATTTGTTTATTCAGAATCAGCATTATAAGAAAATGTAATTGAAATGCTTGTTATCATTTATGAAGGATTCTATGGTAATATGTAAGATTTCGTAATTCGACGACAGTACGAAGTATTTCAATAAATGTTAATCAACATATTTTTTATTGAATTAACGTTATCCACATGTTATTAATTAAAAATGACTAATACTGCGCCAGATAACACAGATCGCATTCTTTTCAGAACAAACGTGTTAAGTAAAGTTGCATACAGACGTTACTCAATGTCAAGACATTAGTACCGTGCTTCCGAGACATTTATACGTATTGCATTATATTCTTTTGATATTTCAAAAATACTGAAATATTGCGAGCTCGAAACTGCCTTCCCAACTGAGCTTATTGATCCAATTTTGTCAACAGCTGTTGGGATTGTGAATTTTCCATCAGGATTTTCTCGCAACGCCTGGCTATTATTAGTAAAAACTAAATGTACACTTAGCATTTTATATTTCTCCTATTTTACTAAAATATTTAAATGTTTGCTAATAGTCTTCCGACTTATTTACTGAAATATTTATCTGTTATCTGCTAAACTAACAATAAAATCTAATCAAAATTTTTATAAAATCGGACAGATAAAGTTTATACATACACGAGTAGGTAAAATATCGATATATTATAATAAAAGGTTATAGATTATAGAATAAAATGAACATTTTCCTGCATTTTTAGAAATAGGGCAGATGTACGGAGGCAGGCAGATGTTATTTGAAAAGATGCTGGGGCTTAAATGAATAATTCCTTTCATGTTTTCATCCATACATTCGCATCTGCCGATAGCACAAAGTTATTACTGATTTCTGACCCTTTTTGCAATAAGAAACAAGTACCTACTACCTACCCAGAGCTAGAGAAAGTCTTCACCAGAAGAACTCTAAACCATAAGCCCAAAAATTCTTACTTAAAACACGTTAGCCCTTAAAGCTCCCATTGCATTTCATAATCCAAGTACAAATTAACTGGAAAGCAGCTTGTTTCCAATACAATTACAATTTAAAATGCAATTGGGACTTCAAGAATGCTACAGCAGTTTTAGGCTTAAGGTTTGGAGTTCTTTTGATTATGGACTTTGCCCAGCTCTGATAGGTGTAATATATTAATTTGTTATTTATAAATGAAGTAAAACCAGAGCTAAACAAAGCACTCGCCCAATAAGCTCAGAGTTCCAAGTACAAAGCTCTTACTTAATATACTTTAGCCTTTGAAGCCCTAACTATTAGCTGACAATTACATTGAATGTGTTTCAAGCATTTTGAATGAGCTTAAAGTCCTTTCAATCGCAAACTATAAAGCTCTTTTACAAAGTAACTTATTTATCAAGCCCTCAGGAAGACTGGAAGCATCATGCACATCTTCAAGCACAAAGTACTAAAGCTCTATTCAGATCTGAGTAAAAAACATGTTTGAAAATAACAACGATGCTTAATATTTCGTACCTGCTCAATTTTACCTAACAAAATTACCGTTACTACATAACGTATTTATGTTTATGACAAATTGAAAAGACAAACAAGAAAAATAACCAGTTGCACACACGTAATTTAAATATT